GAGGGATCACTTCACTTGTCCTTCCTGCTCCAATCTCATTTTCTTCTCCATTTGACACAGTCTTCTTTTTCTTCTGACACTGTCTTCTCTCCTCCTTGGCTCCTTCTGCTCCTTTACCTTTCTGCTACTCTCTGCTTATTTTGCGCCCTTCTGCTCCTTTCTCTTTCTGCTCCTTGCTGCCCCTTGCAGACCCTTCCTGCTCCTTGCTGCCCCTTCCTACTCCTTGCTGACCCCTCTTGCACCTGGCATACCCTTCCTACTGCTTGCTGACCCCTCCTGCCCCTTGCAGACAATTTCTACTCCTTTCTGACCCCTCCTTCTCCTTGCAGACCCTTCCTACTCCTTGCTGACCCCTCCTGCTCCTTGCTGCTCCTTCTTGCTTCTTGTTGACCCTTCCTGCTTCTTGCTGACCTCTTCTGCTCCTTGCTGACCCTTCCTACTCCTTGCTGACCCCCTCCTGCCCTTGCATACCCTTCCTACTCCTTGCTGCCCCCTCCTGCCCCTTGCAGACCTTTACTACTCCTTGCTGACCCCTCCTGCTCCTTGCTGCCCCTTCCTACTCATTGCTGACTCCTCCCGCCCCTTGCAGACCCTTCCTACTCCTTGCTGACCCCTCCTGCTCCTTGCTGACCCCTCCTGCTCCTTGCTGCTCCTTCCTGCTTCTTGCTGACTCTTCCTGCTCCTTGCTGACCCCTCCTACTCCTTGCTGCTCCTTCTTACTCCTTGCTGACCCCTCCTGCCCCTTGAATTCCCTTCCTACTCCTTGCTGACCCCTCCTGCTCCTTGCTGCCTCTTTCTACTCCTTGCTGAACCCTCCTGTCCCTTGCAGACCCTCCCTACTCCTTGCTGACCCCTCCTGCTCCTTGCTGCCCCTTCCTACTCCTTGCTGACCCCGCCAGACCCTTGCAGACCCTTCCTGCTCCTTGCTGCCCCTTCTTGCTCATTTCTGCTCCTTCTACTTCACCCTCCTGCAAACCTTTCCTACCCGTTCCTGCTTCTTGCTGCCCCTTCCGCCCTTCCTACTCCTTGCTGACCCCTCCTGCCCCTTGCATACCCTTCCTACATCTTGCTGACCCCTTCTGCTCCTTGCTGCCCCTTCCTACCCCTTGCTGACGCCTCCTGCCCCTTTCAGACCCTTCCTACACCTTGCTGACCCCTCCTGCTCCTTGCTGCCCCTTCCTACTCCTTGCTGACTCCTCCGCCCCTTGCAGACCCTTCCTGCTCCTTGCTGACCCCTCCTGCTCCTTGCTGACCCCTCCTGCTCCTTGCTGCTCCTTCTTGCTTCTTGTTGACCCTTCCTGCTCCTTGCTGACCCCTCCTGCTCCTTGCTGCCCCTTCCTACCCCTTGCTGACGCCTCTTGCCCCTTGCAGACCCTTCCTACACCTTGCTGACCCCTCCTGCTCCTTGCTGCCCCTTCCTACTCCTTGCTGACTCCTCCCGCCCCTTGCAGACCCTTCCTACTCCTTGCTGACCCCTCCTGCTCCTTGCTGCTCCTTCTTGCTTCTTGTTGACCCTTCCTGCTCCTTGCTGACCCCTCCTGCTCCTTGCTGCCCCTTCCTACTCCTTGCTGACCCTTCCCCCCTGCGGACACCCATGTGCACATGCACACATAAACACAATATTGCACAGAGACACACACTGACAAATACAGACATGCAGTCACAATGTGTATCTGGCTGTGTGGATTTGTGAGTGTATCTGGCATTGTCTACCTGTGTATGTGCCTGAGAGTGTGTGTCTGACAGTGAGAATCCTTGTTTGTGAATGTATGTATCTGTGAGCATGTGTATGTTTGTTTATGTGACTATGTGTATGGCGTAACTGACTGCTGTGTATTGTGTGTTTGGAGGAGGGGGGGACTGCCTATGACCATGATTGTGTGTATGATGAATGTTTTCAGGGTGTGACAGGGTGCGCAAAGGCGTAACTGTTGCAGGGTGAGGGGATTCATGAGACAGGGTTGGGGGGTGAGTGTGACATGGTTGAAAGAGGGAGTGTGACAGGGTGAGGGGAAGAAAGTGTGACAGGATTAGAGGCTTTAATGTGACAGGGTGAGTGTGGCACGGTTGGAGGACAATATGGGGGGCAGTGTGGGGGAGCAGAGTGTGTGGGAGACAGTGTGAGGGGCAGGGTGTGTGGGAGGCTGTGACATGCCTCCACACACCGAAATACTTATTTATTTATTTTTAATGTAATTCCCTGCTGGTCCAGTGGGAAAACTGTCCTGTCTGCAGCTCCGCCGCATGGAGAGCTGCAGACCTCGTTCGCGAGAACTGCACTCGGTGGAGCTGCAGATTGGAGGCTCGGCTCCCTCTCTGGGCAGACCATGTGGAGGAGCCCTGCACCCGGCGCCATACTGGGAAAGCCGCCAGGCCCCCTCTCAGTGTCGGGCCCTTGGTCACGGACTGAGGACCCAACAGTTCAGTCTGACCCAAGGTGATTTAGGCGGCTGCGAGCCTCTGCCTGGCTTCACTAAAGCATAGAATACACTAACGGCTTTTAGCCCCTGCAACCTCAATTTACTCACCTCCGATGCGACCCATAAAGTCCCCCCTTGGCCATTTAGGCGCCCGGGGGCCATGTGATCGCTCTAAAAGAGCTCTGAAAGAGCGATCACATGGTCAGTATTGCTGGCTTAGGATCTGCCAGCAGGGGGACTGCCTAAACTGACAGGCAATCCCCCTGCTGGTAAAATAAAAATTAAAATTAAAAAGTGAATAAAGCAATCAGGGGTAAACAAATATATATATATGATATATATATTGCATATATATATATATATATATATATATATATATATATATATAATATATATATATTATATATGTATATAACACATAATAAGTGTATTTTTATATTGATAGTTCTATATACTTATTATGGAGTTACATAAAAACACCTAATCTAGGCAAAAAATAATGGGAATTTGGTTACATTATATGATCATACATTGCATAAGCCTGCCACAACGTCAATGTACCCCATCTTTGGCAGGTCCTGCTCTGTCTGCTAAATGAGCTACTCACTTGGGGAAATCCTTCCATCTTGAGTTCTCTGCAGTACAAGGCTAAATAGGGTCCTGAGATGAGGCACCTGTAACAGGGAGGGGTGCAAAACCAAGGAGCTGGCTAGACTCCTAAATATATACATATAGGAGAAAACAAGGGTTTGGCTGCACTCACCTGAACATGCTTAAATGGGGTGCTGCTGGGGGCCAATAAGTACAGTAAAAATGAAAACCCTTGTTTTCTCATATAAATATATATATTTATAGTTATCAAAATACACATATAATGAACTTATAAATCAGGGGTAGGCAACCTTCGGCACCCCAGATGTTGTGGACTACATCCCGCATAATTCTCTTACACCCATAGTGCTGGCAAAGCATCATGGGAGGTGTAGTCCACAAGATCTGGAGTGACGAAGGTTGCCTATGCATGTAATATATATATATATATATATATATATATAAATAAAAATAAATAAAAAACATATACATATAAATAGATATAATTACATAAATAATTACATAAATATACACGTAGGATTTAAATACATATATATGTATATATATTTAAATTCTATGTGTATATTTATGTAATCTTTTAACATAAGTCATTTTACTAATTATAAATTGAGGGACTAGCCTGACAACCCAGGCAGTAAGTCCAGAGAATTTAATTTGCAAGTCCTATGTTTATAACTTTCCAAAACACCATAAAACCTGGACATGGGGGGTACTATTGTACTTGGGAGACTTTGTTGAACACAAATATGTGTGTTATAAAACAGTAAAACTTTTCAAGATGATAATATCACCAGTAAAAGTGTAGTTTTTGTGTAAAAAATGCAAAAAACAAATATGAACGCTAAATTTAGCCAGCGTTTGTGACTAAGTGGCTACTAAAAAACACTGGACATAACCCATTTTGAATACCCTGGGTTGTCTACTTTTTCAAATGGTATGCCATGGTGGGGTTAATTTTCATTTCTGGGCTTCCATACTCAAAGGCAACATAACCAATCTGGCAAATTTCAATTAGCAAAAATAGAAATTGGCAAATCTTACTCTGTAACAATAACTGAACTTAATAGGTTTTGAAAATGTTTAAACACATTTGATATCATTTGATATCATCATATATATTATTTACATAAAGACAAGACCATACAGGCAGTCTACCAGTTTGTCCCCCTCTCCCCACACACCACCAATATTGGTGTATCAATGGTGAATAGGATCAAACTTTGCAAAGTATGTTAATGGCGCCCAAGCCCCTCTCTATACATGGGCCATCAGTGAACGCCTTAGGTTGCTTTATGCTTAATTTGCTATGATAATAAGATTACACGTAGTACATACCAAACAGATCTGACATTTTATTCAATACATAGTGGTACCGAACATCCCATGACATCTCTTGGACAGAGTTTGATGACCCTCACAAATGATTCCATCTGCTGTGAACTTTGCAATATTGCTGCTTTTCATGAGAAATGTGGACTTCTCTGGTGTCTTTTATCCTATTACAGAGTAATATCACCAGTAAAAGTGTAGTTTTTGTGTAAAAAATGCAAAAAACAAATATGAACGCTAAATTTAGCCAGCGTTTGTGACTAAGTGGCTACTAAAAAACACTGGACATAACCCATTTTGAATACCCTGGGTTGTCTACTTTTTCAAATGGTATGCCATGGTGGGGTTAATTTTCATTTCTGGGCTTCCATACCTTCTCAGGGGCAACATAACCAATCTGGCAAATTTCAATTAGCAAAAATAGAAATTGGCAAATCTTATATTTGACCCTGTAACTTTACAAAACACCATAAAACCAGTACATGAGGGGTACTGTTGTACTCGTGAGACATTAGTCTACACAAATATGAGTATTTTAGAGAAGTAAAATGTATAATACTGGGGGCAGAGCCTGATCGCTGAGCCGTGCAGCCGCAACTGACATGAGCTCCGGCCGTGCAGGCAGACAATGGAGTGAAAATGACGGCGGTCAAGCTAATAATCACCCGAGGGTGCATCACCCAAGTCGGGGATGCCCCACTGAACCTAATGACACCACCCCGGGACCTATCAGAACCGGGACCGCGGAGATCTAAATGCGGCCTACTGGAGCTGAAGCGGAGGGGAGACGGCCGCTCCCTTTGGTGCAGGAGCCAAAAAGCGATCTCACCCCAGCACCCACCCCACCCCCCCCCACAGGGCGAACAGACCTGCTGGAAAAACAAGAAAGATGGAGGTGGAGCAAAGCGGGGAACAAACCCACACAGCCTGTCCAAAATGGCCACCCAGCCTATGCCTGAAATGTGGAGCACCAGCCTCAAGACACACAGGTCCTCAATGGAAACCTTTGATTGACTCTGCGCAGGCCTCAGGGAGGCTTTACACAGCCGAGGAGTAACTCACTGCCAAGCTGAATTAACGGTGGCCTCATGGATACGTCCTGCAGCGAGGTGCAGCTACTATATGCAGATACCCCGAGCCTCTTAGATGGCTGTTCGGCATAACAGATACCGCTGGGCCTCGAGGCGGGATGTGGCACACGAACGCAACAGGTTATTTGCCCAGCTAATTAACGGCAAAGCATAATTTTATGTTTAGTTTAGTTAAAAAGTCTGTATTTACATTTAGCTTGTTTAGCGAAGTCACCTCACATTGTAGGCGCAATACTGCACTGTTATTTGCTTCTCACGACACAACAGCCTACACAAGTGCAGCGCAAGCAGCACACATATCACACACATTTCTGTTACCTTTATAGTATAAATCATGATACCATATTACTATTATGGCAGCATAACTAATATACTAACCTAACACTGTTCAGCGTTGATTATTTCACCCTCTTCTAACGACTTCATTGCGCAGCCAAGCTTGTTATTGTTATAACTATATAAAAATGTGCAACTCATCATGCCACTGTATAACTTGAATACATCTTTGAACACGCTGTTGTGGCGTATGTCGATGCTATGTAACAACATGCACAACAAAAATAAAGAATTTATTAAAAAAAATAAAAAAATGTATAATACTGATGATATCATTGGTGAAAGGGCAGTTTATTTGTGAAAAATGCAAAGCAACAAATGTAAACTCAAATTTTGGCCAGGGTTTGTGACTAAGTGGCTACTTAAAAATACTGAACATACCCCATTTTGAATACCCTGGGTTGTCTACTTTTACAAACGGTATGCCAAGGTGGGGTTAATTTTTATTCCTGGGCTACCATACGGTCTCAAAGGCAACAGAGGCCAAGCAAACCAATCTGGCAAATTTCAATGGAAAATGGGAAAGCCCTATATTTGACCTCTGTAAGTTTCCAAAAACTCATAAAACCTATACATGGTGGGTACTGTGGTACTCGTGAGACTTTGCTGAATACAAATATGTGTATTTTATTGCAGTAAAATATAACAGTATTATGATATTAACAGTTGTGTCATGCAGAACTTGAAAATAACACATTTTCTTAATGTTTCATACTTTTTTTAGATCTTATTCACATTCAGTTATGTTTCATATATAAATATGTGATATAAAATGAAAGCCCTGTTTCTCCTAAACAAAAGTATATATAATAGGTGTGGGTACACTTAATATGGGATACAATTAATATATATTTGGGAGTCTAGCCAACTCCTTGGTTTTGCACCCCTCCCTGTCACAGTTGCCTCATCCCAGGGCCCTATTTAGCCTTGTACTGCAGAGAGCCCCAGATGGAATTTTTTCCCCAAGTAAGTGCGTTAATCTCATAAGAGCAGACATTAGACTGTTAGTGTAGGACCTGCCAAAGATGGGGTACATTGACGTTGTGGCAGGCTTATGCAATATATGATCATATAATGTAATTAAACCCCCATTATTTTTGCCTAGATTAGGTGTTTTAAAAAAAAAACTCTTTCAACATTGAAGTTGCTGTTTAGTGGATAGGTGAGTGCGCTGGATCTTGTGTATTGTACACGTAATATGAAAGAGGTGAATTATGGTTGACCAACATATAGCACAAATTCCAGGTTTTGTTTACGTTTTGTTTTGATCACAATGTGTACAATTGGCTCCGTCCTTAAGGGGTTAAGAACATTGTTGTATTGTTGTTAGAAAACATTGTTGTTGGAAAAACCTTCCAAATGATTTATCTACAAAAAATCACAGACTTAATTCATTGACTTAAGTAAATGAATAATTTGGACAGATTTTCTAACAATGTTAAATCATGTGGAAAACTTTTTAAATCGAGGCCTATGAGAGCTGTTCTTCTCCTGGTGCAAAGAAAAGTTGTAATCCCCTGGGTCACCAGCTTTTGAGTAGTGACCCAGGTGGGCCAGTCTCTAGACAGCAACTGAACACTGAGGAAGATAGTCCTCAGAGTGATCCACCCTTTTGGCGCTAACAAGGATAGATAGGATATGCCAATACGATAAACATTTCGGTCTAAACCACAGGACTGATGAGCCCTATAGAACAGGAAAAAAGGGTCAGGGCAGGAATGATAGACACCAGAGAAGTCCACATTTCTCATGAAAAGCAGCAATATTGCAAAGTTCGCAGCAGATGGAATCATTTGTGAGGGTCATCAAACTCTGTCCAAGAGATGTCATGGGATGTTCGGTACCACTATGTATTGAATAAAATGTCAGATCTGTTTGGTATGTACTACGTGTAATCTTATTATCATAGCAAATTAAGCATAAAGCAACCTAAGGCGTTCACTGATAGCCCATGTATAGAGAGGGGCTTGGGCGCCATTAACATACTTTGCAACGATTGATCCTATTTACCATTGAGACACCAATATTGGTGGTGTGTGGGGGAGAGGGGAACAAACTGGTAGACTGCCTGTATGGTCTTGTCTTTATGTAAATAATATATATGATGATATCAAATGATATCAAATGTGTTTAAACATTTTCAAAATCTATTAAGTTCAGTTATTGTTACAGAGTGATACAATTATTAAGATAGCAAAACATTCTGATCTGGTTATGGCGAGTCTTACCGGCTGAAGAAGATAAAGGTGTTAAAGAGACATTATTTTGTTATTCCAATAGTCCTTGTGGTGATGTACAGGAGCTGGTTAATAAAAAATGAAAATTGCACAAGAGAAGACGAGTTCCAAATATGAGCTCTGCGCATCTGTGCCTTGAGGTATCCAAGGGAGACAGAGGACAAAAGGAGTCAAAAGTGAATTGGCTGGAATAAATTACCTACAATATGCAAATCTAAATGTGAACAGTGGTATTTATTTTACATAATGTTTGTTTAATGTAGTTGCTTGCATTTTGTGTAGCTTTAAACGATTGCCCTTGCTGAACATACTTCTGATGCATTTAATTACTTAGGACTCATAACGCAGTGATCTTAGCTTATAATTTGAATTATGGAATGCTATGAAAATAGCATACTTCAGGGATATGTTCATTAAAACAAACCCCCAGTATATAGACATCTCTAAATCATTTGCAGAGCTGCTTTACAGAATCTGATGTGCTGGTTTACAGAATCGTATGTGCTGGTCATCAACATGAACATGTTAAACTGTTTCTGGATGCTTAGTAAGTCTGCATTCTGTTGTGCAGAACTTAAAAGTACTGCCCAGCAGTATGTAGAATTAATTTCCACCCAGTGTTGAAGAATTAACCAATCACATGTCCCAAAGGAAACTCTGTAGGGTTTGTTATCTAACCATCAAATTGTAGTGAATTGAAAACCCTACAGCAATTTTTATTTTTTGCAAACCTTTTTTCCCCCTCTAAATTTTGCAATACTGCTTTTAATTTAAATCAATGCAATCTAGTGTTTAGCGAAAAAAATATCTGTGAGTAATTTATTTCATATTAGAAGCCAATTAATTTGACATAATGCTGGCCAGGACTTTCAAACCCTGCGAGACAGAATGAAGAATTCATTACTGTGCAACAAATATATCATGACATGGTAACCAACACTGTTTTCATAAATGTATCCATATTGTGTACCTAAGTTATACTTTAAAAGGGGAGGCATCATTTGTTTGGATAATACACCATTGAATAAAACATTGAAAAACACATTTATTTCATGAACACTGTTCCAATTTTTCTAAAATTTATATCAAAGATTTTGTAAATGACAATTTAGTGTTTAGTCCAAACACAGCCTGAGGGTTATTCAGTGAGCATCTAATTTTATGCGGTTGGACTTAATTTGGTGAAAATTACCAGATTTGAATTGGATTTGCCATGACAGGTGCATAGTCAGATTTACCGGCATATACTCTTACCTTACCCTGAACTACATTAAGAGACGGACACAGGTTATACTGTTGGAAATATCAGTCCGCAGCTTTATTAATGATTAATTAATTAATTAATTAAGGAATAACAAATAGGATCACTGCCAACAAATATTATAAAAGCCAACATCTCCCCCATATACATAACATACCCCTGGCAATGACCCCACAATAATAACAATAAATAACAATCTAATTAACACAGAATCTGGCCGTCCAACATGACCACATTTCCACCAGATTAAATTTTAGGGGTGTACCAGGACACCACCACACCCACAAGTTCAATTGCAGGGGTGTACCAAGACAGCACCAGGATCGGATCCACAGACAGGTTCGAACTTACCAACCATGTGTAACACTGCCTAATCCACACTAAACCTCAGGATGCCCACTTCCTCCTCCATCTACCCCCCAATTTAACCTAGCCATTCCCCGCTGCTGTGAAAAAAACAGGAACATTTTCTAACCTAAGTCAGGGAGGATGGGAGGGACAACTAACAGGTAAGTTTAGGTCTAGTTAAGATGGCCACTTCACAAAATGGCCAGTATAAATAGTCCCATCGTAGCTCTGTCCCCCCAGCTTGCTTGCTGTCACTCAACTTCCCTTGGCTGTTATGCCTACCTCCTGGCTCTATCAAGGCCCACTTCCCTAGCTGCGCTGACTAATGGGCTACATTCTCATATTTACTAATTTCAAATTTGGTTGAATTAGGTCATTACAAATCAAATGAACACAATTTGGTCAGTACCATTCAGTGTCTGGTTTTTAATCAGGTATTTTTACATGTGAATCATATACTATAGGATTCACATATTTACAAAACACTCAACCGTATTTTTACTTCATTTTGAAAAAAATACAGGCAAATCACTTTAATTTTGAAAAATTAGAAAATTAATTCACAGGGGACTACCCATCAACGGTGGCAGTGGGATTTTTTTTATAAATATAAATAGAATAAGGAGGGACATGTCTCTGGGGGGAGTTAAGATAATTTGAAAGTGCCAGATCATTTTTAGTGATACCCACCATTCTTTAATTTCTCCACTTTTCTGTATTCTTTCCCTATGCTGTCTAACA